ATAAGGCTTCTTCAGAAGTTTCCTTATCACAAGTGGGCTCCTGGGTAAATAACAGGAAAACAATGATGAAGAAACTGCTTCAAAACTATTATATCCCAAAGGGAACTAGAATATAAAACAAATGGCCGAAGAGAGGCATTTTCCCAATGTACGGGACTTTAATGGGCACCCAGTTGGTATCTGCCTTCACTTTGTAAGGAGAAACTGATAGACTGGCGTCCTTTCAGCACTTTGAGGGTAACAGACTTGCCTTTTGCTGGGTCCCCAACACCAGAGGCCCCACTTTGGTGCACATTTCTCTGAATGGTCCCTAAAAGTTACAGCGTGGCCTTGAACAGTGTGTTGGGCCTCCATGTGTCAGGCCACTGTGTGGCTCAACTCCAGAGGGTGCCTTTTGCACTGAGAATACATGATTGGTGCCCCCTGTAGTTGTGCAGCGGTACAGTAGGGGAGTGTGTGTTGTCAAGGATAAATGATGAGAAGGAGCTGTGAGGTCGAGGTGTTTCCCTTTTGATGTACCCATGATTCCCTTTATTTTATTGGTCTCTTTGTTTATTTTTAAGGTTTTTGCCATAGGGTACATACACTCATAAAGAGAGAGAGGGAGAAAGTGAGAAGTCATCTCCCAGGGGGATGGCCACGCCACAACCCCTTTTTCTCCATTCTCCTCTAGGGATTTTGGACACACATGGTTTTCAAGCTACCTGATCTGGGATTCAAACCACAGGTGGCTGTGTGGGAATCCAGCACCTTAACCACCATGCCACCTGCTGGCTCACCACCACCTCCTTTACGTACACACATGTACACACACATGCATACCCACTGGCACACGCCCCTTCTCAGTAGCCTCAGCTCTCTTTTATGGTGTGAGGCAAAGCTCTCTCCTTTTTAGCCCAAACATTGTTCAAGCGGGGGTAGCTTTTTCCTCCAAATGAGAAAAGTTTCCCTTTTAGAGTCGGCTACAGTGTAGGCGTGACGTTCTGGTTAGACATGGCAGGAAGGAGAAGCAGAATGACAACTCTGAGGGAACCAAGAAAGCCCAAAGGGGAGACAAGGTTTAGAGCTAAATCAAGATTGGATTTTGTCATGAAAGGCAGAACTGGCAAAAGCATCATTACAAGGCATTAACCTTGTTACACACAGACGAACAAGCAGTGGCTGGGATTCAGAAATAAATTACACATAATAAACTAGACCGAATAGGCTGAGAGCAACATTAGCGATTATGCCCTAAGGGGAGAGAAGGGCAAGATAGAAAATAGGCCTAAAAAAAAAAAAAAAAAGGTAAGAATAATCTCTGGACGCAGGGGGTCCACTGCGGTATTTTCCCCCTTCTTCTGCTGGCTCCCTCCCTAGGTATTAACTTCACTTTTGTGAGGAGGCTTCTCTGGGGCCTGTCTTTCTTTTGTTTTCATTTGCTGAAATGGGCATAAGAAAGCCATTCAGAGGGCTCCATTTTCCATTCACAGGGACCTGTCCATTTCTGTGTGTTTCCAGCACAAAAGAGCCCATTTCCATTCAGCCAGAGCAGTCCCTGGAGTTTTCATGAGGTCCAAGCTTCCTTTTTCCTATTTTCTTCCAGGCTCACGGTTGTAATTAGCTACAAAATCCTGACTGTGGCCAGGGCCTTCCAGGATGGTGAGAGGAACCAGCACCCGTCCAACTCCTGGTGCTTGGAGCCGAGGAAGAGCTACGGTTTAGTGCCAGCTCCAACAAGTCATGATTCTCATTTCTTAAACAATAACTTGTTTTCAGGTCCAAGAAACAGAAGAAAATGTAGTTAGCAACAGGGGTTAACAATGATTTCTAATGTTAACTTAGTAGACATTTAACGATTAGAGGGCCGTAGCTCAGTGCTGTCCTCCAGAACCTGGCATGTGGACTTTCATCCTCCATCTTGAATCCCAAAAACAAAGTGGCCACCTCCAGTCTACATACGATGGCCTCCCACAGTTGTATCCAAGGGAGGAAGTGTGGGGAGAGGGCAGACCGGTTGTCCTCAGTGAGCCTTCTCTTAGCAAGCAGGACATGTATTCCCAGAAGCCCTTTCAGTTGACTTTCGGATTTCACTGGCCAGAACTGGGAGTGAGGAAGCCACATGGCTCCCCTTAGCTCTAAGGGGCAGAAAAGTATCTGGCAATGGGGAATAGAGTTGCCATTTGGCTTGGACCAATTATGGCTTCCATCAAGCTTGGGTTTATTGCTATCTGAACAAAATTAGGATTCTTCTGGCAAAAATGTTGGGGATGACTGCCATGGGCATGGTACCAACTGTTTGTGTTTTTAGATAGGGTAATGATAGCAAGCAAGGACGATGGGTTACTGTGTGTCAGACACTGCCCTAAACTTTACTGAGGGTTATGTACTAACACATTAAGTCCATAATGATAACTAACCTGTGGAAAGGCTGTTATGAGCACTTGCACTGCATAGAGGAGGAAACAGTCACAGAACAGTTCAATCTTGTGCACAAAATTACTTAGCTAGAAAGCGGCAGACCTAGGCAGCCTGACTCACTACCTTACACTACCTTTATTACGTTCGATGACAAAATACTCTAAGCAGCACCCAGGAAGAATTGATACATATTAGCTAGTATTATATTGTGATGATTACTATTACTATTATTATTTCTTCTTCATAACCACCTGACCAATCAGCACACTACCTGATTAGACAGTTGGAAAAAAAACAACCTCTCACAGGATCTAAGATACTGCCCCAGTCACCCAGTGAGTGAGAACCAAGCTCAAACGCAAACTAGTCCCAGACAATTTGTTCTGTATCATCAGCTTCACACGTTTGAGAACATTGATTAATGGCTGTACTGTTCACCTATGCAATCGATCCAGGATTTAATTTGGAAAACTACAGTTGTTCAGGAACAGTCAGAAGTCAGGGAAGGACGCTAGAAAGGGTGAAAAGGTAATTTGGCACCAATTTTCTCCGTGTTTCTGCTTTAGCTCTTGAGCTGCTCTGTTTAATTTGTATGTTTGTTTTTGGAGCCAGTATGTCATGCACAGGGCATCCCAAGCCACCTCAGCAAAGGCCACTCGTGATGTCATGGTTCTTCACCCATTAGAATAAGTGCCATTTTGTTAAGCACCTACTGAGTATCAGCCGTGAGAGTGCACTGTCCCAGCTGGCCCTTGTGGGCAGTTCGCAGTCCACAGCCATCCGTCATTCTGTGTTGTGAAATGAATGGGCACGGAGTCCTCCAGCCACGGAGTCGAGGAGAGTGGTATTCGAACATTCCATATACCCAGTCTGGGAGGATGCCCAATTCTCTGAGGGAGCTTCTCCGTGAGGCACAAATACTTAGTAAAAATGATGGGCATGATCAGCCGATCTTACGCCTGAACAATTCTGGTTTTATTTCAAAGCAAGATGTGTGGTGTGGGTTTATTTTGATTATTTTTTAAATCTAAAGGTCACCCGATTTTTCTTTTTCTGCTGGTAGTCATGAGGCTTCCTTATCTAAACAGTGATCTATTGTTCCAACCCTTCGGCCCAGAGATTTTTTTTTTTTTTAACTTCAATTTCAACAGGACATCTTTCCCAAATGCACGAGAAGTATCTTTTAACAGGAAAAACAAAATCTCTAATGTGCTTCCCAAAAATCTTATTTAAACTGAGTTCACTATAGAACATTTTATGCAAGTAAGTGACTTTCTCTTAGGTTATGACATCTTTTCCTTGAAAAGTGATCAGGGGATTGGAGGAATCCTTGCTAGCTTATCTGTTCCTCGCAGCGCAACTTCAACACAGAAATGTGGACGGCACTTGAGATGCTTTAGAAATCAATTTAGTCCGCGGACCCATTTAGTTTAGATGTTAATGAAACTTGGTGGGTTTAAAAATAATGAATATTTAATAAGACGTAAATTGAAAGACATAAACACTGTTGGCAATATTATAATGAAGTTAATAAGTCTTAGCCTTCCCAGGCCCACCTCCCCCCTCCCCAAACAGGGTGATGTTAAACGTTGCTCTGATGCTTGCTAAACTGTCCCATTGGCTAAAGCTTAAAATGTGGCTTTGTTAACCTTGGTACAGTTGGACACTGAGCTCTGGCAGATAAAGTTCGCTATCACACTGTGTTCAGGAGCTACAGACGGCAACGGCTCTTTCTAGCTCCATATCTTCCAGAGCTTTGTGTAACAAACTCGGTTTCCTGTTATTGAGTCAGGAAGCAGCGCGAAGCACTTCATTCCTTTTAAACAAGAGAGAAAATGACATTTTGGTTGACATGCTCTCTACTCTGGGCTTAAAGAGGGGCTTTATTTAATGATAAGGAGCAAGCATGTGACTCTATGTGCTCAAAGCCTCAGACAATTTAAATGCCTTGGGGTGGGAGTTAGGCTTTTTCGTTTCCTCTTTAAGAGCATCGGCCCCAGGACCAGCCCTTCTGTTGGCTTCCTCTGTAACTCTGTGGTTCTGTCTTAACCCTGACCAGTACTTTATCTTCTTCGCTTTACTCTCGGAATTTGTTTGAGGGTTCATCCGGCAGCCTTCTTAGAAATCCAGAATCCCTCCTCTCTGTCATCACATCCAATAGGCTCATCCATGTCACATCCTCAGAGTATTTGTTTAACCTCACAGTTGCCAAAGCCTGGCTAGAATGAATTGCGCCGGGATCCTGCCAACAGCTGAGGATAAGATTGTCTCTCTCCCGATTCAGCAGTGGGCTCTCCGTTGGCAATCGAGTGGAACTTGGCTTCATATATCAGCTGGGGGAGTGTTAAACGGATGGCTAGCTCACTCTGGCAATCAATACGTGTTAATACATAGTAAACACATGGCTTTCTGTGGGTTGGGCCAGCAGGGTGATGAAAGGCAGCTCCTGAGGGTCTTATCTAAGAACAATGTGTTGGGGATCCAGAAGTGGGATCCTTCCGAGGAGAGCTTCTGTGACATTTTATCAGTACAATGATAAGTATTGCTGTTAAAAATGATCTTTTTTTTTTTTTTATTTGTGCGTTTGTGTGCATGTTCAGAAAGAAGGGGATCAACCTGAAAGAGTACAACCAATCGCATCATCTACCCTGATCCATTCCGACCTGACATCTGTTTATGGCACCGTGGTAATGAACAGGACTGTTTTATTCTTGGGGACTGGAGATGGCCAGTTGCTTAAGGTTGGTTTTCTGTGCCTTCTTCAAATATCTATTAATATTTTAATATTAATTCATTTTATGGGTTTTTTTTAATGAAAAATAATGTTTCGGGGTTGTACATGAGATCACACCAACTGCTTTGTGAACGTCTCAGAGACCCTCAAAATTAGCCCAGAAGAACGTCTGGATATCAGGATGTAATAATTTTAATAGTAATCCATTTTATGGTTTTTTTTTTAATGAAAAATAATGTTTCGGGGTTGTACATGAGATCACACCAACTGCTTTGTGAACGTCTCAGAGACCCTCAAAATTAGCCCAGAAGAACGTCTGGATATCAGGATGTAATAATGCTCCCCTCTCCCCACCCCTCACACTCATATCCAGCCGTGGAATCAAGTTCCAGCCACTTTGCTTCCTGCGAGCATGCCGCAATATTTCCTTCCCTTACTCATACACTGCCTGAGTGAGGTTAATGGGGGTTAGGCCCCTACCCCCTCCCTGATTCACCTTCCTGAGACATTTAACCTTTCAATTCTGTCTGCTTTATAAGGGCAAGGCACAAAGCACCTGATTTCTCATGACTTCAAAGAGATGAGAGATCATTGGGCTTGAAAAGAGGAAAAAACAGATGTTCCTTCCCTCCAGCCCCTTACCACCCACGGGGGAGGGGGGGAGTGCTCTGTGTAGCCACATGTACCACAGAAAGGTTAGAGATCTGGAATCCTTTGAGACTCCTCCTGACTTTTACTTCAGAGGACTGTTGTTTTTACACTATGTATGGATAGGCCCTGGTCAGGTTGAGATGGTGATTCACATGGGTGAGAGGCAGTGAGGAGGAGGAGACAATAAAATCAGAGGTACCAAACGCATTGTCTGTAATTGCACGGTGATTATCTTATCAATGCCAATACCTCCTGTGGCCTCCAACCACATTCATGGTCGGGAACTGCCCTGTTTCTTACCCTAGACGGATTGTCCCTGGCCTCTGAGCAGCCAGTCAGTTGACCCTCAGCTCAAATACTGTATATTTTCCTTAATGGCAGAGAACATATGCATGCATGAGAGAGGGAGAATGAGACAGAGATGAGAGAGAGAGACAGAGGGAGAGAGAGAGAGAGAAACAGACAACATTCTCCAGTAAGGAACGGTCACATCACAATCCTTTTTCCTCCAATTCTTCATCCTGTTGAGATTTGGAGCAAGAGTGTACAATGCCCTTGGCATGTTTTTTAAGCCACCAAGGCCACAACTTGGCCCCTACCTGGTCAGCTCTGTGGGATCCAGCTTCCTCTTTGCAGTGTGTAACCACCGTGGTAGGAAGCTGATCCACAGTTGAGATTCTTTATTGAATACTGACAGATCTGTTTTCCCAACTGGTCTCCCACTGATAACTGTGTGACTTCAGGTGAATTGCTTAAGCTCTCTGGGCCTGTATGTCCTCATCTGTCAAACGAGATTGTACTAAACAACCTAACCCCCTTCTGATGCTATGTCTGCCCTTTGCACACTTAGTCCCCCTCTTCATCTACCCCAGCCAAACCTACTTACTTGCTCCTCTCCAAAGGTGCATTGCTTAGTCTTGTGTGAACACTGTCTTAGTTCGTGTTGTAACATGCAATCCCACTGGGGCATGCATAAAGAAAAGGAGTGCAATTATTTCAGTTCTGGAGTCTGGGAAGACCAAGATCAAGGGTCAGCCTCTGGCAAGGACCTTTTTGCTGTATCATCCTGTGATGGAAGGAACAAGAGAGGGTGAGAGAACAGACTCATCCTTTTATCAGGAACCAACTCCCATGGTAACCAACCCACTCCTGCCATAATGGCAGCAATCCACTGGGGAGGGCAGGACCCTTGTGACCTAAACACCCCATAAAGAGCCCACCTCTCAATGGGTTGCCCTGGGGATTACCTTCGCAATGTGAGAACTGTATAGGGATGCGTTTCCAACATAGCATATACCACTGCTCACACTGAACTCCAGCCTGGAATGCCTGCTCTGTTGTTTTTTCTCTTCTTTACTGAATCCTGTATTATCTGTGCTTTGACTTAGTTCAAACCCACCTTCTCTTAGATGATATCTAAGCTGGATTGATTGTGTTCGCCCCTCATCTCCTGAAATACCTATGGTCCCCGTCACTCTTTGGGTTCATTATAAAAGTCTTGCTTTGACACCTGACCTCTTTGCTTGGGTTTGGCTTTCCTTCTCAACTTGATTTTAAGCTTCTTGAGAAGTGGGCCATAAATTCCTACAACCCGATGCAGTGCCGAGTGCCTGGTAGGCATTTGATTTCATCTGTTTTCTTTGGAGGAAACCCAGTAACATATGGGCGGGAGTTTGTTTGTATACACATTCTTTTAAAATATACATTGATCATCTTTCCTGTTGTGTTAGCTTTATTTCCTGGGGAAAGGTAAATACCGACCAGTCATTCTACGCAAGTAACTCAGTGACATCTGCAGCTTCACCAAGCTGGTTGGATTGATTGGACCCATTCACCTGACAGAAGAGGGCTCCATCCATCCTTCCTGGGACTCCTCACCAATTATCTCTTCAGATTGGGGGTATTTCTGATGAGTGTTTTGACAAGAACACTGTTTCCCCATAGCTGAGCCAACCGAACTGTTACATGGTGAACTGGAGGTGAAGGAACACTGGGCTATAAATAGTTCCCCATGGGACTGCCTGGTTTCGCCTGTCCTGTTTGTTCACCCAGCAGTCTGTGTGCAGCTGGCCAGTGTTTAGTGAACTTGTGGCAGCAGAGGGGGACTCCGAGCTGCAGTGTCACACAGAAGAGGAGGCGGCGGCCTACCAGAGGATCAGCATGGGGTGATCTTTCAAAGTCATGTCTGTGTCCTTATTTATTTTAAGGGTTTGAATGATAAGGATAGATAGTTTTTGTGTGTGTTTTTGTGACTGCTAAACATTATAGAGTGTTTCCTGTACACTAAGTCACTCTACAGACCCATCTGGTCCTTCCCATAACCCCCTCAACAGTAGAGGCAGGGCTACTATTCCCATTTCACAGATGAGGGAATGAAGGCCCAAAAAAGTTGGATGATTTGACCAAGATGATGTCAGGGCAGAGCAGGGATTTGAACCTGGAGCAATTCCAGATACTGCACTAATATCTCATGCTACACTGATTTTGCAGCCTCTGTCTACAGAATGGCCCACTATTCTCTGGGAGTTCTGGGAGGCAATGGAGCACATGCTGATAGGGGCTCATGCCCTGGGGGTTGGAAGCAATGGTCCTAGGAGGGTTTGATGCTCCTGGAGTGGGTCAGCTGCTCCTGGGTGGGTCGACTCCTAGAAACTCAGAGAACTCCAGCCCCAGAAGGTAGACTGTCTGACATAATAACTTCTTGGGAATTAACAACCCCTCCTCTCCAAAAGAGAGTTCCTGAGACACTTCTTTCTTTTAGGAGGAGATTGTGAGGAATGAATTTGGCTGCCATGGCCCCATAAGGCTCCCTTGGACAGCCCAGTAATTCCCAAGACTCCCTCCTGTATCCTGAGTGCAGATGCTTGGATCAACCCCTGAATTTACCCAGAAACCCAAAGACCCAGGATTGTGTAGATGACTTGGAAACCACAGATAATCCCCAAATCCCTTTATTCAAAAGCTTCGAGCTTCTCCCTTGCCAGACTTGTCACCAGAACTGTTAGAAAAGACGAGCATTGATAGACACAAGCTTGGCTTCCTAAACCGCAGCGTGGAGGTACTAATGAGCAGTGAAAAACAAAACCCAACTTAACGCAGACAGTGGGAGGAGGAGAAGAAAGAAGCTTAGATCACCCACAGCCTGACTCATCAGTTTCTGAGTGATCAAGGGTTGACGGCATTTTGGCAGACTCCAGGCACTGTAGTATGTGTCTGACTGGATGAAAGGCAGGAAGCAGTGATTGAGGGCCAAACGCTGTTTGTTACCACCCCCCATACAAACCTGACTTCGTCAAACTCTGCAAACCTCATGGAGTTTTCATACAATCTGGATCCATTTTAAACCTCCGATTATTGCCATAATAATTTTTTCTTATTGTAAAAGTAATATGTGCTCGTGTAGAAAGTTGCGGAGTAGTGGGGGATGAGAGGAAGGCATAGAAAAAATTACTCCTAATTGCATCATGTAGAGGCAACTGTCAGCATTTTGGATTCTCTTTTTTTTTTTTTACATAGTTGAGGTCAGAGTCTATCCAATTTTGCCTCCTTCTTTTCTTCAGTTAATGAAGGCAAATGGTTATATTAAAATGTTACTGCAACCCCTTTGTAAACAGTACTTTGAAATAGCTGTATCATGTTCTGTTATGTGGAAATGTTATTTTGAAGTTTAGCTGAAATAGTGGAGATCACTTTTCAAGCGTTGTTAGGCACTTTTTCCGAAGACAGCCCAGTCTCCGAAGGTAAGAGTGTATTGATGATCAGTGGGAAAACTAAAGGCTTTACCGTAGGCTAATTTCCTTCACTGCCTTCCTCTTACCTTGATTCCGAAGTCCCTTTATAAGATTTTTGAAAAATTGAAGGAATTTTGAACTCAAAGAGTCCTTTGAGAGTGTCTCATCTGCCCCCTTATTTTATTGGCGCCCGGTTCTCGTGGTCGCGAGGTGAGTTTGTCCAGTCACTCTCCTCCTCCCCCTTGGTTATTTCCCATTTTACTTCCTTTCTAAACATGATTGCATGCTATAATTTTTCCAGTTGTCAGCATCTCCACTGAGATCAGCTGAAAAGTATGGCCACACTGAACTCAGCGTTTGAGAAATCATACCACACGTGTCGCCCAGCCGGTCTGCTGCAACGTGTGCGCGCTCCTATAAACACACGCCGCATCTTTCTCCAGACGGGTACAGCCTGTCATGTGGTTTGGATCCCTTTGAGCTGACTCTGTTGCATATAGAAAATTGTCCTTATTGCAAGGGCAGAATTGAATATTTTGAGCTTTTCCAGGTGGTAAAATAAGTAATAACAGAATATGCATGAAATTTGAAATTTGTAACTTTATGCATGCCCATTAACCTTCCA